GAGCTGTGTTTCTCGAGATTTAAAAATGGTGCCGCCGGAATAAGCTTTCCAAGGTGGACAGTAAACATCCTTATAACTTTTGAATGACGGACCAACCAAATCTAGTTTTTTTACGACTAGAACCGACTAAATGCCGACTTTTATCTGGCTAGTCAAATTTCAAAAACTCGACTGTGGTCACGCTGGAATAAGGTACGCTGATAAGAGGTAATAAGCAGTGTATATGCGTATACACAATAAACAGTGACATAATGTTTAGTACAGGGTCAAGAGCACGTCAAGTTTGACACTTAAGACTTAAATCCAACTCTATGCCGCTTACGATAAGAACGGTCCAAAGTCCAAAGTGTCAAGCTTGATGTACTGTTGACTGTATGTAGGCACAAATATTTTGAAGGCTAAGTGATAGATAATACTCGTCTGATGAAGCGAATGCGTAAAGTGGCGTACATACAAACCATGACTATTTAACACCACATTATACACCAGTTTCATCCCGTGAAAAAAATATTGCTTTATTTTATTATAGGTACACTTATTTTATAACAAAACGTACCCCTTGGGTCTTGAACGCAAGTCAAAAAAGATTTGAAAATAAATAAATTACAGTTACGTAGATACCTTTCTCTAAAAAATTCGACATTTTTGTCGCTATCTAGGCCCTGTATTTTATTACTGCGCTCAAAACTGGTTTTCATTAATTATGAGTTAGGAAATATAACCTTGAAGCATGATTAGAACCGTGGACTTTGAACAGAAACGCGGGCCCTTAATTCCCTTCCCTCGAGGAAGCTGGTACGTAACAACTTTTTGACTTTTTGAATGCAATATAATAATGCAAATGTATAAATTGCATAGTATAATAATGAAAATAAATTCTGTCGCGATATTATTTTATTGAGATTTCCTTATCTGTTTGTTTACGTTATTACAAGCTCGCGTAGATAGATATTTACCTAATATAACGTTAATGAGGTATGTAAGTAAGTTATTAGGTCATCTTAAAGCATAAAAAAATGTTAGCAATTTCGTAGGTCTATGTTGCATCACGTACATACATTACCCACTGCTAGGTCCTTTTTATGGATAGGGCATTTAATTGTCCGCATTCCATGAGACTGGCGAGTTCGTAAATCTTCGCAGTTGTAGAACCCTAGCTGTGGGTATGAGCGTACCTAATAATATTCGACATTCAGGGTTTTCACGTGATATATTGCTTCACCGTTAAAGCAGGTAGGTACATGCATGTATCAAATACATGATCCCAAATGGGTGCAGACTTGTTACTATCAAATAACACTACTTAAGTACCTACCTACATATAACTCTAGATAGTGCTATGTTTGTGAAAACTCATTGAAACGTATTCTCTATTAATAGGTACCAAGATACCGGCGTCAACAGTGCACAGATGCACATCATCAAATTATATCTGCAGATAAAAAGCTACCAACTAATAATTTTATAACAAATCCTTGTTTAGAATGTCTTATAAGAGCGCCAGTCTCACAGGGTTTTTAATATATACGCGTTGTAAGAAATGTCGTACTATTCCGTGTAAAGATAAAGTCTCTCCGTATATTGGACTTTGCCTGACCGAGGAATAGTAAAAAATATAAACACGTCAATGATTGGGCTTTTATGTGGTCATTTAACTACGCGTCTGTATTTTCCTGTAAATTATTCAGGTAAAGTCGGTAGGCATCTTGTGTGACCGTATTTGGTGATTCAATTGAAGAGTACATTACGTGTTGTAAATTATTGTATTGTAATAATAGTAGTGGAGAGAGGCAGTTAATTTTTTGGATTTACGTACGAAAATGAAGAAGAATAGTAAAATATTGTTTTGATCTTATCATAGTTTATTAGGTAGTAAGAAATACCAGAACCATTTTTAATTCGCCCTTCTTAAAGTTCGTTGGCCCTTTATTAGTTTTGTAAGCAGGTATCTGTCTAGTCATAGCACTTGTCTGAATCTATTTTGAAGTGCGCTCAATTGTTACGTCCTAGGTGAATACCTAAGCCTCTAGTATTAGAATAAATAATCGTTGACAACAGTAATAGGCACCTAAAGTAAGTAGTAAACTATTACTAGGCACTAGCCTACGTATCAACCTAAATAGATTTACGTGTCTCCGCTACTTTTTAACCGACTTCAAAAAAAGAAGGACAATTTTTTTGTATGTTTGTTACGCGATAACTGTGAACCGATTTGGATGATTCTTTTTGTTTTAAAGAGAGTATCTCAATACTGGTCCCATTTAAATTTGAATACAACATACACACTACTAAACATTACACAATAAAACTTGGCAAATAGATGTGCCTAATACCACGAACTTTTGAGCTCTTTTTTTTCTTTTATAAAAGTTACAATTATTAATTAACTAGCTTGGAAATTATTGTGTAGGATTTTTAATTAATTGTTACAAACACTTAGAAGGGTATTGATAACCACAAAACCTAAACTAGTGAACGTATGACTTATCTGTTGATAGATATAGCCTAAATATACTTGGTCAGGTTTTAATGTAAACGCTGTTACCTAAACAGCGTTTACAGTAAAATTAAATATTAGAATATGATAGTAACGGGTCGCTATAGGTATGAATCTCAAACCAATTACGGGCATTACAGTGCGATTTCCAAGTCCTTTCTGTGTAGTTGCCTCCTATTGCTTTTCCATAGAGAAGTATCAACAACGCACTTACAAAATTCAATGATTTACATACATTAAACATTTTATATTGAATCAATATAAGCTCTACGCCAAGAAAAGTACCTACCTACATTTTTGTGTGCGGTAGGTACACCTTTAGTTCATTGTGTACCAGCCCCCGGTTCAATGAGTAGGTACCATGGGAACCAAAAAGTATATAACTTAGATCCATACATCCTGAGTTACAGCTCTTGAAAATTTCAGTGGTTCATTGTCGACCACCACACTCTACTGAAATAGACAACTAACGGAACTAATTTAAACTCCACAATACAAGGTGTACGAGCTAGACGCGCACTTAAAGGACGGGAGAGAGGCCTTTGCCTAGCAGTGGGACAGTATAGACTTAAAAAAACTAATATTGAACTTGTCGTTCTTTAGACATGCGGCGTATCTGGTCGGTCCTACGACTACGCGATGATGCGGCTGATGATTGAGCGCTGCGCTCAAGGTCTCCTGAGCTCTCTGCGCCTCACCCCTGGAGAACGCATCGGGATAATCCTACCGAACATCCCTGAGTTTACTGTGGTGATTCATGGCGCTATGAGGGCTGGTTTGGTCGTAACATTCGCCAACCCACTGTATACCACAGGTAAATGTTAAATCAGTAATTCCTAGTAGAATTTATATAAACAAGCATAGAAGCATTTAAAAGAAGCATCATTGGTAAGTTTAATCAAGCACAACGATGATAATCACTGACAAAGCATGTATGGTAGGTATGATAATATATCGGCGTAAAATAAGGAAAAATACTTTTTTTATAATACCAAGTGGACGGCACGAACAAGTCGTGTGCTAGGTGGTAAGCGACATGCTTATCCATAACAGTTGCAATGCCACTTAGAGCTTCAAATCACAAAGATCTTAGGGGCACTACCACTGCGCCTGTCGCCCTGAGGCATATTATCAAGTTGACCACTCCTATGTGCTTGTAATTTGATCAGCACCCTTACCGTTCCAAACCGGAACGCAGTAATACTTACATTACTGCATGGCGGCAGAAGTAGGTAAGGTGGCAGTTCCCTGGACCACTCTTTGACAAGGAGCTCTACTGCTACTTAGTCAATTAATATGGAAATGTTACAAAATATGCGTAGGCCTAGCTTGAGCTATACAAAGTGTCGTTTTTTCTAAACTGCACATTTTAAATGTAACAATGACATGTACTTTGATAGTATCTACACAATTTTAAGAGAATTTTTACACGTACATAGGTACGATGTGTATTTGCATACGTAATGGAGTATTATTATATTTTGTTGCGGTTGCGCCACACTACTTTTTTGTCAGTTTATTAAAACTATTTGAGTTCGCAACTGCCAATTGAGTATTTTTATATATTCTTAATACACAAATCAATATTTTGGAATTTACAACTTTAGCAATATAGTTAAGAGCTGTTTATTTATAAATGTAATATAATAATACTCGTCATTATTGCCGCTGATAAATGATAATGCGGTCCTAAGTTCATGTCTGGGATTCTCATCTAATATCAAATAACTCTGCTAATTATGTTTTCTTGTTATAATTAACTCTAACCGTCTCGTCTGCAGTACATGTTTTTATTCAGTTTCGTCATGTAAATGAAACCACAAAATAACTATTAGTACGTTGGTACCATTACATAATTGTATATGCCAATGAGTCTGATAGGGACCCAGAAGTCATCGATACTTACCAAAAATTATCTATTTCAAGTGTTCTTCTCAACATAATGTAAGCTCATCAATCGATTAGGGAATATGTATAGGTACACTGATCAAAAATGTCTAGGGATCAAAGGTATATGATAATTCTTTGATAATTCATAATTAATTTTGTGGTTGTCTATGTGTGTGTCCATGGCGCCCGCGATATAGGGTTTCCCTAGTGCGGGGCTATGAGTGTGTGCATTATAATATAAAATATATATATAACGTTTGATCTCTAGAAATTTTTGATATGTGTAGGTATTTTTGAACAATGCAATTTGAATAGGCACACTAGTTGTTTTCTCTATTCGTAGAATAGGTAACAATATCATTATTTTATGATGCATACCAATAGATAAAACCTATCAATTTCGTTTTCAGATGAAGTGAGGAGACAGTTTTCGGACTGCGATGTGAAGGCGATTGTTACGATTGAGATGTTTATGCCTGTCGCACTGAACGTAGCAAAATATCTTAAGGGATACAAAGGCACTATTTGGATTGGGGGAGAACATGATAAGACGAAGAGTAAGTTTGACCACAGGTATAGCGATTAACAGTAGATTCAGCAAAACTTTGTGAGAAAACCTTTATAGCAGGAAAGGTTCCCAATCTCAATCTCTTCGAAGACTACCTAGAGTATCTAGAGATACCAGCAGATGTACAGAGACAAAGGATCTGTACAAAAAGACATAGATTAACAAGTTCTTTTCTTTCTAGACATTTTCGGCCTTAAACCTATGTTGATGGAGGATCACGATGTAGACCTTCCAGACCCAAATGCCGACGACGTCTGCCTTGTTCCCTACTCTAGTGGCACCACTGGCATGCCTAAAGGAGTCATGCTGACACATAAGAATCTTGTTTCGAATCTTAAGCAGGCCCAAGTACCTAAATTGATGAAGTATGAAGGAGAAAAAGGTAAATTATATCGTGTCGTTGCCGAATCGCACTTAGAGCCAGCGCAAACCGGCGATCGGCGGGAAAGAGCATCGAAGAGGATTTTGTGCCCACCAGCGCACATTGATGAGTGATGTCCCTTACGCTCTGATTTGATTCTGTTCTGCTGGTGGTGGATCCTGGCGTGGTATCCCTAACGCGCCCTTCAATGCCGCATAGAGAAACGCCATGCTCCGAAGTCCGTCTCAGAGCATTGAAATATTACATATATAAATTATTACCGCCTGTAAATTGATAAATTGAATGTCCTTTAACTTACCGTCCACCGGTTAGCTTTGTTATCTTTCACAAGTTTCTAAAATAAAAGTTAAATGTTTGATGTCCCTACATATATAACATTGAATCCTGTAAGACAAGATCCCAATCACTTTAACAGTTTTGATTACAGGTAAAAGCGATGTAGTATTGACTGTTCCGCCTTTCTTCCACATCTATGGATTTAATGGAATTCTTAACTACAATCTTATTCTTGGATACCACTTGGTCTCAATTCCTAAGTATGTTTAATTTACGTGAAATTACATCATGACATTAATTTTAATCAATCATACGATTATCGAGTCTACCGTGAAGTAAAACATGTCTTTAGCTAATCTTATTTGTGTCTTCTTTCTAGATTCACTCCAGAGGATTATATTAAATGTCTTTTGGAATATAAACCTACGACTTTGTTTGTCGTGCCATCACTTTTAACGTTTCTCGCCACTCATCCTTTAGTGAAAAAGGAATATATTCAGTCCGTAGAAACTATAATGATTGGTGCTGCGCCAATTACAGACAGTATGCTGGAGAAGTTCCTTCTAAAATGTGAGAAGACGAAGGATGAAATTAAACTGTTGCAAGGTTTGTTTCTGTATTTTAAAGGGATAAAAACTTGCATGAACTAAGTTAACGAAAAACTGTGACTAGCTTTGATCTTGGAAAAAATGCATGACAAAATATAAAGACCAGTAATCCTTGCAGGTTATGGTATGACAGAGAGTTCGCCCGTGGCACTGATGACGCCATACAATTACCCATTTAACAAAGTGGGCTCAGCAGGACAGCTGGTACCGAGCACGCAAGCTCGCATTGTCTCATTGACTACTGGCGAAATACTTGGTCCGCATAAATCGGGAGAACTGCTGGTGCGGGGGCCACAGGTATGAAATCGGTCTTGAATATTATTCCTATGCGCCGGAGCAAAACCAAACATTTTTGTTTAGGCAGCAACACGTATAATTACTGTTTCGACCTATATGGTTTCGATGCTATACCTACACTTAAAAAAAATTGCTGTAAAGAACGTTTGACTTAGACCAAATTTAAACGTTAGGTACCCTCCAGTTTCCTAATCGTTATGTAGGTACTTCTAATTTCTAGGTAACTTATATCTTGCATGTTACATTAGGTGATGAAAGGTTATTGGAACAATGAGCAAGCAACGCAAGAGACGGTCGATAGCGAGGGTTGGCTACATACAGGAGATGTAGCATATTATGACGAAGACCATTATTTCTACATTGTGGATCGTACCAAAGAACTTATTAAAGTTAAAGGCAATCAGGTGAGTGATCAAAGCGGCAGATATTACAATACTCAAAGAAAGCTAATAATTGATTTAATAATACAATATATGATTGGTTTTTATAAAATGGCGCCATCATTTCGCATTTGCGGTTTCACATTTTCATAAATTCATAAATATTTATATACGACGTAAGACATCACTTTTTGTACTTCTAGGTTTCCCCAACAGAAATAGAAAGTATAATAATGGAGCTGCCAGAAGTAGCTGACGTGGCGGTGGTTGGAATACCAGACCCTCTCGCAGGAGAAATCCCTAAAGCCTTTGTAGTATTGAAACCCAATGATAAATTAGCAGAGAAACAAGTCTACGACGTGGTTGCGGGAAAACTCGTCAAATACAAACGACTTGAGGGTGGTGTCGTGTTCTTAGAGTCCATTCCTAGAAATGCCGCTGGAAAAATTATGAGAAACGAACTTAAAGTACTAGGAGCAAAGAAAAATTAAATAATAATTATTATCATTAGATACATAGTATTGTAAATAGTAAACAGTAAGTTTAGATGTAAAAATAATGGCTATGTATATTTATTTAACTTGTGCTAGCTTTATGAATAATGTGATTTTATTTGTTTTTTGTAATTGTGATCTGTTGAAAATAAAATTAACAGTTTCTATAAAATTAATATGTTTATTTTAAACTTAAGTATGAAATAAATTACCTATCATTGATTCACAAAAGGAGTTAACATATTATCCAATGTTTATATGTCAGTCCTGAACTGATATTGAACAATAACAACTCAAATTAAATTAATTCCAGTAATTTACTAAAATATAAGTACGAGTTCAATCAGTGAAAAGCTTACGAGTTCAATCAGTAACAAATCCATATTAATTTATTTTCATTTTAAATTGTTTTCTGTGTTAATCTCTATAGGTTCAGCCTTTTCTTCTTCTTTCTTCTCTGCTTCTTGAATTACAACAGGCTTGACTTCTGGTTCAAGCTCTGGTGCAGCTACCGGAGTTTCAGTAACTGGCACCTGTAATTCTGACTTTACATCCGAAATGGAGTAATTATCAGACTGTATCTCTGGTGTTTCTGGAACGGAATCTTCCACAACCTGCTCAGGTACATCTTGTGAGGATTCAGATGACTTATCCTCAGAGAGCACATTAGTTTCAGACTGATTTGTATCAGAACTAGATTCCTCTTGGACATCTATATGTGCATCACTGTCAACTTTTGGTGAATTACTATTGCCATCTGTGTTTTCGCTAGATGAGGAACTTTCTTCACTTGATGTTGATACTTCTGATATAACTTTAGGTTCAGCTTCTTCTTTAATAACAGAATCTGAGCTGCTATCATCAATGTTGGCTTGTTGAACATCTTCAGTTATTTTAACCTCAGTATTAGAAACCTTTGGTTCTGATATATTTTCTGCCTCTTGGAGTTTATCAACTTGTTTTGATTCCTCATTGAGCCTTTGTTCTGTCATTTCAGCATCATCTACTTTAATTTCTGGAATTACCAAGGGTTCTTTTGCTGGCTCCTCAGTTTTCATTTCGACATCTTCTTTAGATTCAGGTGGAGGTTGTGTTGTGTCAGCTGCCATTGTTTCAGTTTTCTCAGTTACTTGCAATAGGGGATCAGTCACATTTACAATATCAGGGATAGGATCAATTGGTTTCGTTTCTAACTCATCAGTTACATTTAATTCTGGGGGTGTTACAGATTCATATGGAGTAGTTGTCTTCTCCTGAGTATCCATTGGCACATCTTGTTTGCTCTGCAATCGGGTTTCTAAGTCATCCACCGATATATGAGTATCCGAAGAGCTGGGTTGTGGTTCTGCATTTTTCTGTTGCTGTTCAGCAATCTCCTTCCAGGACATATCTTCCATTTCAACGTCTACATTGTACTCGGAGTTGTTGTCGGTACCATTGACTATTGGCTCCCCAGCCTCACCATTTTCTGGTTCAGGTTGTCGCTGAACGCCGGGCTCTCTAGTGCTTACGACTAGTATGTTCTTTTCTATAGCACGCATGAATTTATCAATTCTGTTATATTGCTTACGCGGGAAGGTGAGAAGTTCGCAGATCCTTTGTACAGTGAAAGGAGCCGACGTAAACGTGTCGAGGCGCTCCAACAAACTATTCTTCATAGTATCGTAATTAAACGGATCTACGTTGGGGTAAGGCGGAATTTCGATACCTGGAGTGGTTTCATGGAAATCCGTGATCACATTGAGAAGCTTTTCTTTGAACAAGCTCTTGACAAGGGACCACTGGTAGACGGGGTCACCGGTTCGTGCAACGTACGCCAAGTAGTCATTGAGCTCCTGAGGAATTACCTTAGGTTTTCGCTTTGAGAAGTCTTCTAGAAAGTGGTAAATTTCTTCGGCATTTTCCATTTCGAATTATTATAAACCACAAAGTCACAGTCAGTAATAATAATAAACTATTCGTAAGGTCGGCCACCAAACAGAAACAGACAGACAGACCATTGGCCAAAGACAAAAAGATATCGGCGCGTTCAATTTTTCAGAAAAATGCATAAGTCCGAGAGCTTGGCAAATCCCTAAAAGCGGGTTACGTTCTAAGTGGATTTACAAAAGGATTAATAATAAAAAGGTAATAACGTACACACAAACACACACACACACACACACACACACACACACACACACACACACACA